TATATATAAAATATATAAAGTAAAATAAACAATTAAAATATTTTGATTTGTTTGTATTTCAATATTTGAAAAATCACGAAATTTTTTTATAACATTAAGTATTAAGAAATTTCTCATTCAATGCTTTTCTTAAAGTAAGTCCGTATATATATCAATTAGCAAATATTAAGAAAAAAATATAATTTATTTGAAATTTTAACGCTCACATATTGCATTAATGTACTAATAACATCGAAAATCTTAATGTAATTTGTACTTACAACGGAAATTATAATCAATATTTAAAACTATAAAGATAGCATAAAGTACTATTATCATGTTTGCACGATAAAAAGCTATATCAGCTATATAAATCGGCGATATCAGTGCCGAGAACTGTGACCGCTCGATAGAAGTTTGTAGAATGAATTCAGAATCTCGAATCTCAAGTTTCAAGCACATCGAAGGTGCTTCAATCAGTAATAATTAGTATCATCTAATTATAGATACTCACTTCTGTGTCCCTTATCTGTAACCGGATCTCTTCTCAGCTTTACCCTCCTCTTCGCATTCATTCGTGGAGCTGAAAAAAATATAAACGCAACTTTAAAACTCAGTAATTTTAATTAACTTTAATTAATCGTCGTTTCTCATATTTCTATGCTTTAACAATATCCAAAGAAGTAAATGAAAATAAATAGAAAAATAAAATTATGAAACTAAACAAAAAAATTTTAATACGTGAATATATACAAAGACGTATTAAAAAATAGTATTGATAAAAAATGTATACAACAAAATATATAACAACTTTATGAAATTATTTAAATTTTTCTGTGAAAGAGCTAGAACTTTATCATATATATAATGAAATTCTGAAAAAATAAAACTAATCTTACAGAAATCAAAATACAGTTGTAATTTACAGATATATAGATTAAAAATAAAATTCGTGAAATAGTGTGACAGAAAAACATTTTTTTTCTAATTTGAAATGGAAATGTAGAACGAAGTATGCTCATGACTAGATAACAACTTTTGGAATATTTCCACGAAATATGAAAGAACAGGTTGGTCATAAAACTTGCCATGATTCTAGCAAATATATGCTGCTCGAATTAATTTATAACATGATAAATTAAAAAAGAAATGAAATTTATTTAACTGTCGATCATCGATTGTAGAATATATGAAAAGATTGATAGATATTATCTCACGTAATATCTATCAGTCATTTTACACACGCCGACATAAATCGCAATATCTGTGCAAGGAAACAAGCTTAATTGAAGTTGTTGCATTTTATGCGGGAGCGAAAAACTCTGCTTAATATATATGCGTCATGGCGAGCTATTGTATAAAAGGACTGCGAAGCGAGGTGAATAACGTCGAGATTTTTTAACAATTCCTTTTTTTTATAATGCGCCCTGACAATTTCTGCTCGATGTAGCATAAAGGCGATTTAGGCACAACCCCCGATTAAATCTCTTCTACGTTTCAACCCGACACTTTGCCTCGAAAAGTTGATCTGTAGATAAATTTGAGATAAAATATATCGATGTGAAGAAGTGAAAATGAAGTAAATTTTTAATCTTTTGAAACGTAAATAGATTTGTTCAAAAGACAGAAGCAATAATAAAAAGCTTTAAATAAAAAATAAGAAAAGATAATGAATCACATCAATTATTCTTGGATTTATATTATTTTTTAACGAATTCGGATCCTATCTACAATTGATAAGCTACGTTAGTTACATCAAATTTATAAAGTAATTATTTAACGAATTTAAAATACAATAAAAAATATTTTTTAACCATTTTTGTAATCATACTAAGTATTATATTTAAGAACTATA